GGGGGGGGGAAAAAGGGAAAAAGAAAGGGGGAGAGAAAGAAAAGGGGAAACCCCCCCCCCCCCCCCCCTGTTTCTACCCCCCCCTCGGTGTTTGCCATCGGGATTGGGTTTTCGTCGCTTGGCAACGACGTTGTAAAACAAGCCAATTCACTTCGTGAACTCGGCAACCAGGTTACCGTTTTTTTTTTACCTCTGGTTTGTTTTTTGGCGGTAACCATAATGGTGGTCGAGTAGATCATGTTGCGCGGGGTGGAGAACCCTCACTCCGCGCAAGGGGGATGATCGCACCACGTTGTGTTAAAATGGTCAAGCATCCTCGAGGCAGTTACACAGTGCTTACAACTGTCTCTGGAAGTGAAAGCACCAGAAAATAAATTAAGTCATACGTAGCTGTCATCCGTACGCAAGTAAGTAAGCACAAGATGCCGAACACCGTTAGCAGGATGCAGCTCACCCTTCATGCGACTCGCCAAATACCTCACGGCGCTTCGCTGCTTGGTGATGTGAGAGCCTGGTCCGGTGAGAACCCGGCGTGATCCGTCCCGGCTTTGTAGGGATGCGAGGTCAATGGTCTAACGACTACGGCATGCACGACTATGAGTACACCCCCCCCCCCTGACCCCCCTGGCGTCTGCCGGCCGCCCACCGTCGTTTGTACCCCCGCCCTTCTATACCCACCGCACATGGGCCACAACCGATATGAGTATGTATGTACGTGGATGGGCGCGTTGGTGTTGGACAGTTGAGCGAGGGAGAGGAAGATGGGGGTCAACCGTCGGAGCGTTTTTTTTTTTTTGTGTGTGTTGCGTGAGAGCGATTGCTTGCTCTTGGCTCATGGGGCGTTTTTTCTTGTGTCCGGCCGCCTCCCTTCCCCCCCTACCCGGCGTTGCCTGGTGCTGTCGCCAATGTGTGTGCCAAGCCCATCTCTTCCGCCCGTTCCCTCTGTTCACCCTACTCTGAGCCTTGCTACGGTACCCTACTCTGAGCCTTGCTACGGTATGCTTTCGTGTCGGGTCACGGTGTCCTCCGCGGGCAGCCCCTAGTTAGCTACCATTTTGCTAGCTCGAGGTGTGGGGGGGGTATGGCCCAAACACATGTTGAAGGATCTACAGTCCATCCCTTCTCGCTTTGACGCATGTTGTTCGCGGATGGGTGGTGCCCACGGCATCATCCGACGCCGGCCATGCCGCCAACCATAAGCCAATATCGTGCCCCCCCTTTTTTCACGCGATGGCGAACTATGTGTACTAATAGGCCGGGGGCAGCTCGAGCTCCAGGGCGCAGGGGCAGGCAAAGCCGGTTCCGGACCGCCTGGTGGGGGAGCTGGCCCGGTTCGCGTGCCGGTCGGGGAGCAAGGGGGTCGACAAGATCGTGACCGATTTCACCGCGATACACCCGGAGGCGTCCAAGCGGCAGGTCGAGAAGAAGATTCAGGCGAGTGACGTTCCGGTCGACCCCCAAGACTTGGAGGAGCGGCGTGGAAGTGTACAGGTGTTGGCAGTTTTTTGTGGGGCGGGATTGTTCGGCACAGCAGTCGGTCGACCAAGACTTGTGAGGAGCGGCGTGGTCGGTGTTTGCAGTTGTTTATGAGGCTGGATTGGTCGGCACAGTAGTAGTAAATAGTGGGTTGACCAAGACTTTGAGTCGAGACTGCTTGTTGTGTGCACGCGTGTTTGCGGCTATTTTTTTACGTTCTATTCGCGGCGGGATTGGTCAGCACAGCAGTACTTTTTTTTTGTTGAATCGTTGTTTCGGTGCAAAGTTTGTCCTTTGTTTGAATATTTGGGGTTTGTTCCACGTCAAGGCTGTTTGTTTGGTGCGATAGTGGGTTGGCTGCTGCTGCTGAGGGCCATGCACGCAGAGGATGGATGGATAGATGACGTTGGTTAGACAGGCTCTGGGACGCCTGCATGCAAGGCTTTTGCCAGCGGTCTTGCAACCAGGTGTGTGCTCCTACAGATGGTCGGTGTTGGTGCTTGTCGTATGTGTCGAGAACCGAGTAGTCTACGGTAAAAGACCGTCAGAGCGCGAGGTAAACGGGGTGGCGCAGTCTAGACAGATGAGACGAAAGGCCTTGACGGTTATTTCTTGTGTGTGTGTGTGTGTGTGTGTTTTTTTGTGTTTCGTATGGTTGAAACCTGCCGTCTTTCGTGCAACGGTTTGCTCACGAAGCTGAACGGCGCTACTACTTGCGTGATGTGAGCTTTCTCTTGCTGCCCCCACCGCAAGATATCACCCCACTTTTCATGTCATGCTACATATCAGGTGCCGCCATGAAAAAATGTGGCGATCAGCCCCCACATGTTTGTGTTTCTGCTTGCCGACACCACCACCTACTACCGTGCTCGGCCCTTTGTCGCTCTCTGGCAACACATCACTCGTGCCCCTCCCTCCCGTGCTGGTGTTGCCGCTGTTTCTTCTTCTTGTGCTTGCGCAGGAGGTAGCGTACAAAGAGAAGAGGGCGGGTGACGTGAGAGACTCGTGGTACATCCGAGAGGGCTTCGAGAGCCTTCTCGAGGAAGGGCTGACGGATGCAGAGAAGAAGGACGACAAGGACACCAACGCGAAGGTGATGCCGAGTTGTACATTCCGACAGCGACACCAAACGAACAGTGTAAGCCCAACCAACTCGGTATTCTATTGAATTTTCGCGCGAAATGTGGGGAAGTGTGCGATCGATCGAGTTTTTGAACGACAGCGACGCCAAACGAGCTTAGGCACGAACTGCTCGGTATCTCTTAACTCGCCCCGAAAGTGCGGGCGAAAAGCGCAGGTGTGCGATCTAATCGATTTTCAAACGACAGCGACACCAAACGAATTAGTCCAAGCCCAAACTACTCGGTATTCTTCTACTTGACCGTGAAAGTGTGGGCGAAAGCGCAGGTGTGCGATCAATCGACTTGTCAAGATTGATTTATCCACCAAGAGGGTGCTATCGGTGTTCTACAGCCAGCAACGTCAAAGATGTTCCGCCGCAGTACGAAAAAAGGGGTGGATACCAGCTTCTCTTCTCAAGAGAATCGCAGCAACTCGCCCCCCCCGCCACTTCATGATGGCCACGCCGAAGTAACCAAATATTGTTCGTGGCCACGTGAGAAGTCAGCCTCAAACTAGTGGTTGTTGGGATCCAGGTGACCAATGGAGGGCCATTGGAGCCATTGGAGCGATGCGCCCGAGAACCATGCACCCTTTGGCCCGCAACATGCACCCTTTGGCTGCGGCGATGCCTACCTAGGCGGAGGAACCCCAACCTTCTTGGTCTCTGCTTTCGAACAGTCTTATCTTGCTTCGAATAGTCTTAACTCCAACAATCTTCCTTGTCTGTACTTGTAAATCTTGACCATCTCTGTAAATGATCGTTAAGTCTTTTAGAGCTTGCCTAATGTAGCGTAGCAGTTGAGAACGTCTCACAAATTGTTTGTCCGCCGTGGTGGTGGTGATGCATGCTTCGCCTGTCTGGGAGCCGGGATCTTGTGTCACCGTGTACGTGCCAAGTTAGATCTTGTGTGCATGTTTTTTTTTTTTGTACGCACGCCGATGCGCGCGGTGCCTACCGCAGCAGCCAACCAAGAGCGAGGCAAGCGGCAAAGAAGCCGACTCAAGCAGCAAGGTGGGGAGTTCGACGTCTTCAAAGAAGCGGAGGCCGCACGGGGACGGGGAACGGCCAACGGTTACAGTACGATCCCGTGAGTGCTTCTCTCGGAGTGGAGTTTGGGGGGGGGGGGGGGACCTATATCACGCGCCGGTGGGTTGGCGGGTGGTCGGTGTCTGAACGCTCGCCAATGAGCGGTGTTGATTGATGCGGTGGCGGTGTGCTTAGATAGAGGTGAAGTGTGCATCTTGAGCGCGAAGATCATAAATATTTTTTGAAGTCCCGTTTTTTATTGTTGTGGTGAGCAAAGGGTATAGTAGTCTATTTTAGGCGATATGGTGGTCTGTAGTGTCGCGGCCTGAAACGTGACGCAAAACACAGTGAACGAACGCCCAGATGTTGGCTGCGTCTTGTCTATCTATTAGGAAGGAGCGCAGAGACCCCGACAGATGTAGAGGGATGCCTAACCAGCGCGGTAAAATGAACAAGGCGTGCACCGAATGATTTACTCCCCCCACCCACCCCCAGCTCTTTTCCCTTCGTGCTTTCACTGTCTCCAGCCGGGGGTAATAAACCTGGCGCGTCTCGTCTCGGCAGCAATGTGCATGGTACTCCCGGCTGTGTGACCCAGGCTGGTTGGTCAAACATGCAATTTGCCGAAACGCTGAATGGTTTTCCGTGCGCGTGGTTGTTTGTCAATTGTTTGTGGGTTTGTTCTCGCTGTGATCGATGATGAGGCAGCGTTTTACCTGTTCAAGCACGCGGAGCGCGAAACGGCTGTGCAGGCGTTGCGAGACAGGGGCGTGTCGGACCCCAGCTCGGACGAGATCAAGGATAAGATCAAGGTATGCGTATGCATATGATTGGTTGGTTTCTGGCGGAATGCTTTGGTGCTATATTATACTACTTCGAAGTAGTGTTTTTATGGCAACCCGGTCTGATTGACGGACGGGGAAATAACCCGCCGCCCGGCGTGTTGCGCTTCAGTTTTTTTAGAAACGCATTTCTACCACTTCTGCGCAAGCACTGTTCGTTTTCGAATGTGGTTTGATTGAGGGGGTTGTTTGTTGTCCCTCTTTCGCTAGTTTTTGGCCCCTTACAACGTGTAACGGTTGTACGCTTACGGCAGTACGCCCCCCACCCCCCCCTGATTCTTCCTCCCTACCGTCGTTGTTCGTTTTTGTCGTTGTGCGTGAAGATGATGTGGCGAGAGCTGAGCCGCGACGCACAGGAGGAATATTTCCAGAAAGCAGAGAAGGTGCGACCAACCAAGGATGTACTTGTTTGGTAGGAAATGAGATAGTATAGCCGGGCAGTCGGACAAACGGTGTTTCATTGTGTTCACAAACCACTGTGCTGTCACGAGATCAAACTAGCGCATGCACAAGACCGAAGGTCTTCCTCGCAACCGCCACTGGTGATTGATTGGGACCCGAACAGACGGGTTGGGTCGAAGATCAGGATTCCGGAAAGGGGGGAGGCAGCAGCAGCGGCGGCAAGCGTAAGGCTAGCTTCAGCGGCGACGTGACTTCCACCGGATCATCCGCTCCAGGGTCTCCCACTTCCGCTTTTACCATCCCCAAGCGCAAGAAGGTGCGTTGGTGTGCCGACGTTTTGGCTCGAAGGTTGTCGCTAGAGCGAGAGCTACAACACCCGTTGAGAAACAAGAGGGGACGCAGATCTCAGCGCTCTTTCGCCGCACCTGGTACAGAGAGTAGGTTCCAGGTTCCTTCGCAGTGAGGGCTAGGAAACGTGCAGATGATCCCCATCACAACGTTACACAAGCCAATGTCCCCAACGCTGAAAGAACGTTTTGTGCGGTGGTGCAAGGTGAGCGTCCTGCGTTTGAAACTCCTACTTTTGTCAAAGTTGCCTCTCAAACACCTGTTATTCTTCTCTGAGATCGCTTGTTTGTCCTGTTTCGCCCCGTTTGTTGCTCTTCTGATAGGTGGAACCATCCGCGTAATATAACTCTTCTTGATGAAACGGCGCTCGGCGCTGGTTTAACCGGCGGCGTTCTTTGGTTGTGCTGGGAGGAGGCTTCGGCGGTGGTGGCTTTGTTTGCACAAACAGCGGGTTTATGGCGCTTGGTGACGGCGGTAGTTGCGAGTGGGGGGGCGTTGAGGAAAAGAGTCTAATCCGGCGACCATGAAGTGTGAAGGTCAAAGTTTGGTGTGGAAACGTTTGTCATTTAGGGTAAGATGTTATCCTGCTGCGACGCGTGACTGTGGAAACAGGTGGCGTTGCTGCTCCATCACGACTGGTACAGAAGCGTATGGTGTGAAGCGTGTTTGTATTTGGTTGGCACGGACCGCGTTATTGTTAACCGCCTGATTGTGCGTGTGTGTTGTCGTGCTGCTGGTAGAAGTAAGGAGATAGATTGGTGCATAAATTTAGCAGGTACACCTGGCGGACCAAACGCCGACAACAGAAGTAAATTAACGCTGGGACGTTCGTTCAGCATTCCCGCAACAATTCAAGGGCGGGAACGAGCCTGAGCGCGTTTGTTCGCTTGTCGTCACCGCCCCGGCACATGCCGCGTGCCGGCCGTGCTCCTCCCTGTGACACTTCTAATCTGTTGATCGCGTGCTATGCGGAGGCATCATGCGATAGGTTTGGTAATATGATAGGTGCAGAGCCGTACGGGAAGACTGGTGGAATTGACGTTTCGGATTTGGTGAAGGGGCTTTTGCTTCGTACGCCTGCAGTGATGAAGCACAACATGGCCAAAGGCTCGTGGGGACAGCCGAACTCAGTCTTAAAAGCTTTTGAGGAACACAACGTACGTTCGCTTCATCTTCGTGGGCGGACTGACCCCATGGTGTGGCAAAGAGTAGGAATACACGAGGGACCAAGCAAACGTACATGAAGGCGTGGTTGTGGGACAAGTATGGCACTCCGCTGCCAGGGGGTCCGTGCATCTACTCGGATAAAAGTGACAGAAAGGCCTAAAAGTATTTTTTTTTGCCGAAGAACACGGCGGGGGGAGGCAGCAGTTTGGCCTAGACGCTTTTTCACTCCTGCTTGGAATGCGTGCGTGCGGGACGCATCAAATCCGCCGGCGACCGCTCGGGGTATATCCCCACATCTCTTCGCCTTGTTTGATCATTTTCCCACACGAGTTTGTTGTTTTCGTTCGTTGCCCCCCACGCTGCCGCCGCGGCGGTAAAAGCCATAGCTGTATGTGTCTATCAAAAAACGAGGAGCACGGTCCTACTTGGGAATCCCGCAACAAATATTTCGCTGAGAAATTGCAACTAAAAATGCAATCGCGACCCTTCTTATGTGCAACATTACAACACACCCGAGGATCTAAACGCCCGCAGCCCGCAAAACGGAAGGGCCTACATTTTACAGGAGGACGTTGACAGGTCGGTTCAACCCTAGTCCTAATCCTCTAGCCTTCCTGAAAGAATAATAGGAAATATAGTGTACATTTTACATTTATTTTATGTACAGCACGACACAAACCATTCTTGGCGGTAGCGATGCTACATCTCCACTACTTTCTTGCCTTCGTCCCAAAGAACGAAAACTGCACAGGCGCGGCCTGACGCCTCAACGAGGGGATCTCTGTGTCCAGAATTTTCTGCAGCTCTCGCTGCTCGCTAGCCTTCACGCGAGAGACGCCGTCTATCCCCAACGACGCCAGCGATAGGTGCAAGCCATGTCGGATTCGTTGCCAGGATGCCGTGATCGATTCGTCTCCCTCGGACACTTCGCGCGTGTACATCTTGCCGAAATAGTGGTTGAGGCCTTCCACGGATATCATCTCTTCATGCTTAGCTTTGAGCGCCTTCGAGTTGTAGAACTGGCACGCGGGAAACAGAGAGAGACACATCCACACAACACAAAAAAAGCCAGTAAGCTTCCAATCCTGGCGCAGAGGAGCTAAAACAAAAAAAAAACTAGTGTCACCGTGTGCTTTGCGCGAACAACGGACTGCTTTCCAAACTGTCGCGAGTTGTTGCCAATGGCGAGCCAATGACTGAATTTTTTTCAAGATTGCGAAACAGCAGTTGTCCCGTTACCCCCGCACCCCAAGCTACCCGACATTTTACTGTCAAGTTGAAACCAGCGGAGACGGGGGACACGTCTTGCTCGCTCAAAACCGCAGCTCCTCGACCGACTTCAGCTGCCGTTTGGCAACAAGCCGTAACGTCGCCACCGAGGTCAACACCAGACGAGCGCGACCCACACACGGCCGTCTTTTCATCGGCAAGCCGGATAGCGCGGTGGATGCCAACCAAAAAAACACACGGGATACGAGAGAGAGGGAGAGAGAGAGAGAGCAAAACGAAGATGCTACTGCGTGCATGCGCGCTTTCCAATCTACCACGACTAGGTAGGATTCATCACCTGCAGACCACCAGCCGAGGCGAGCGCCATACCGGCGGCACCGACGGCCATTTCTATCGGGGCGCCGAGAAACACGCTTCCGCCGGACAAGCCCCCTCCAGCGGCCAGGGCGGCGAAGGTAGTGCCGTGCCGAATCAGCTTGGCGTTCCTGTAGTCTTTCTGCAAGGCGTCCAGGACCTGCAGCATAAACAAAACCCCCATCAGTTAAGCCTCCCGTGCGCGTGCGGCACTCAAGACGGATTTCGCCGTCACGAAAACTCCCATGCCAATATCGAAACCCTCGATTTGGAAAAACGGGCATAGATGTTTGGAGCAGTCGATATCGAGCAAATTTATAGATGAAACGTCACAAACAGCTGGGTCTCGTACACGATCTCGATCGGGTCGCGCAATTTGTGCCTCTCTTACAACGTGTACCCATTCTTGCAGCTCGTAACAGGGGGACTGCCTACGCAAACAGAGAGACGTTATTGCGAAAAAGACAAGGGAGGGGGGACGCAGACCGTAACCCCAACTCAGCCAGTAGTCTACGCAGCAAATTTGATCAAGCAAACATATGGGATAAAGTACTCAATCCGTGCTCCGGGGTTAGGGTTTTAGGGATAGGGTCTGCGTGCCCCCTCCCTATTCTTGTTCTAGATACTTAAATCTCCTGCGTAGGCGGTCCAACTCCGCCGATTCTGTACTTTATCCAGTATGTTTGCCTACTTTGAAAAACCTGCGTAGACTACTGCAACAGGGTTCGTCGTTGGCCACCCCGTACGACATTTCTCCACATGCAAAGGTTGATACTAGAACACCTACGAAGGGCCAAACTCAGCACTACACTACGTTCCCTGCGTGGCACCAAAACCAGGACGCGGTGTGCGTCATGTGGCGGGTGAGGACGGCCCAAGGAAGACATGCTCGAGCGCGTTTTACGCCCGAGCCGAACCAAGGGACGAAAGCGCAACGAGATTTTCAAGTCGCACCAACGCGGTCTTTGTCCCCCCCCGCCTCGATTTTTTCGATTGATCTCCCTGCCAATTGTTCAGTCACGACCCCACTGAGCAGTGCTCCGGGTGTGCTGGACCGTATGTGTGACAGGTTTGCGCATTTCCTATGGCAAGAACTATGTTCTCTTTTTACTATGGTTATCTTTCGTTTGCGTCTGTGTCTTCACCTCTCTCTCCAACTTTACGAGTTTTTTTTTTCCTCAAGACATGACAAGCGCCACCTCGGGATACGAGAGGAGGCAGAGGCATCACGACCGTGATACTCAAGCCGTGGTCGTTGGGTGCAAGGCAAGCGAACTCATTCACGTTGAGGTTGGCGAAACGAACAGAACCGTAATGAATGCCTGCACGCCTTCCGAGCAGACAAAACACGTAGTCTGAGCCGCACACGTCAATGCGCAATCTGTAGCCTGTCGATATTCAATCAACTTCTTGATACCGCGACCACCTAGTTCATGATCGTGAGCATGCTGCGCCTCCCCTCTACGGAAAGCGTTAGGCACGACAACATCCAACAATGGACAAGGTCGTGCCCCGTCGAGTATTCCTCGGACATCCAACTTACGGTGGTGTGCACTTGGAGAAGGTGAACGGAGTCCGTGAGCCTGGTGATGACGTTGTCGATCCTGCGTTTTGGGGCCTTCATCACCTCCGCCGCCACATCGTCACGCGTGGCCTGATCGAACACGGGAGGGCTTCTGCATCAGATTATACATACAATGTACATGTGCTGAGTGACGTGTACCGTCACGACCACCGTGGCAAGAGGCAGGCAGACGTGCGTCTCCTACCTGGAAGGTCAAGTCTGCAATACTCCCAGAAACGTATGCCTTCGGCGACTACACGCAGTTCGCCTCCAACACCCACGCCTGAAGGGCAACTACACCCGACGCTTGAGAGGCCTCCCATACTATTGATATTCCACACAGACACAAGACCCATCAACTGCGAAAAAGCGAACGAGACTTACTCACCTCCAAGTCGTGCAGGCCGCTGCTGAGCGACAACTCGACCTCCCCTTCACCGGCACCGCCGTCTCTGGATTTCACTGGCAGGCACATCGTGTAGATGCGGGGCAAGTCCTTGCGAGGGATAACCTAGACGTCGGTTTCACAAGGTTCAACAGGCCAGAGGGCGTTCGAGATGTGCTTCCCAGCAGCATGGCTATCGCTGTGAAACAAAACTATAGGGGCGGGACCGCAACATGGACGATGTTCACGCACAACGATTATCTGCATCAACCCCAATGCAGGCGAGGTCATTAGCGAGGGCCTACCTTGCTGAGGTTCCAGCAGAGAGAGCCGTAGGCACGGGCGAAGTCATGGATCTTCTTGAACTGGTCCGCCTGACCACGCGACAATCACAAGGACGAGGGAGAGCGGCGAAATGACTTGGGGGGCGCAACACAAAACACAACCCCTTTTATTTGTCGGCACGCGCTTTTGGTTGTTATCGTTTGCGCGACTTCCAAAAAATGTATGGCTGCGTGCAAATACTTAGTAGCCGGCAGGCCCAACAGTCAACACCACACCAAACAAGGCACTGCAACAGCTTGAGTCTCACCACAAGCCACAAGCGCCCCCCTTCGACACTGCTGCTGTATAGATGAACAAGTAAAAACTGTCCTACAACAAAAAAAACAGGGCAAACAAACAACAGCGCACCCACCTTGTTGAGGACCACGTAAAGCTTGTGGTCCTTACCCGCCAGCGAGTTGGTGAGGATCGACAGCGTCTCCCCCGTGGTGCCAGGCTTGTCCGGGTCGAAGAACAGGAGGATCACGTCCGCCCTCTCCGCGAACCACCGCACGACGCCCTCGAAGTCGTAGCCACGGCTCGTGTCGGCACCCTTGCCGCGGCCGGCGGGGCTGTCGGGGTCCGAGCGCTCGTAGATGGACCGGGACATGGGGCTGTCGATCATGCCGGGGCTGTCCACCATCATGAACGAGTTTGTGGAAGTGCCCGAGCGCACCTGTTTGCGGAGAGAGAGGCGGTGTCGGGGGTTAGTTCACGGGCGCAGGAGATATCGCTGGCAGGGTCGGCCGGGTGCTGTGGGGGCAACGGTTGCTCTTGTGCATACATGCACAACTGGGCTCGGACTGCTATTGTCATGCCGTACTCGATTGCATAGTTCGAGCGTTGTGCATGCATGGGGTGTCCTCACCTTGAGTTCCGTGTGATGCGTGAGAGTAGGTCCGAACTGCCGCAACCCGGAGAACCCCATGTCGGGATCGCCCACCAAGGCAGGGCCGTCCTGATCAAGGTCGGAGGGGCCCGGAGCGATGATGGTGAAGCTGTCGAGCCGCCACACCACGCATCATGTTGGCGTGTTGCAGGTGGCGGCGACACGACATGCCGAGTGCGACAAGGCGGGCGAGGGAGACGGGAGAGAGAAAAGGCAGGAGCGCTTTCAGGCAATTGCCCTGGGCGGAGCGACGAGGGCAAGTACCGAGGAGAGCGGGGTTGGGGGCCAGAAGACAGGAAGCTGTACATGCAACAGACAACAAAAAGAAGAGGGGGTGTGTATCTTGGGGAGGCGGAAGAACTGCATGCTGCTCAGAGCCATGTAGTGGTGAGTCTACGCAACCAGCAAAGTAAGGATCAAACAGCATTGACCAACAGGGCTGGTACGATGCACAACGTAGAGGCCAAGTTCAAATATCTTCGCGCCCATTGAATGTTGCCCCTGCTCTGCTGCTGTGGCTCCGTGAGGACAAGGGTGAATCAGGTTCCATTAATTCTTATTCTTTTGAGTGTACGGGCATCCCGGTAGGGCTCTCGAAAACTGTACCAGTATAGTTCCGCCGCCTAATGAACTAATAAATGCATACCATGTCGAGTGGTAGTCGACTGCATCCCCCGAAGAGCCCAAAAACAAGACCAACGCCAGCGTCGCTGCGAATGAACCATGTTCAGGACGGGGACAGAACATGTAGCACATCCAAAAAAAGCTCCAAGAAAGGATGCCGGTTTGTTGGAGTTGGATGGCCAACAAGGAGTCTAGCTGATCACGCGAGGGCATTGGCCACACACCTATCGTCCGTGGGAGCCACCCCGGCCGTCTGGATGTTCCTCCCCAACACGTAGTTGATGAAGCTCGACTTGCCGGAGCTGTGGTTTCCCAGCACGAAGACGAACGGCATCTTAGTCGACTGATAACCACCCGTTTGCAGCTTCTCCAGCGGCCCGGCCGTCTTGTCGTTGAGGGGCTGGATGAAGCTTGCGTGAAGATCGTCGCACTTCTCCATGATCTCAGCCTGTACCTTGCTATCGACGGTGGACTGCCGGCGCCGTTGATGTCGACTGCCACCCGTCTCCCAAGGAGAGGCTCCGACCAACGCACCTGTGATCGAACAAGCCAACCAAAAGATGGATGGGCGCGATTTGAGCAGGGGGGTGTACCAAGAAGTCGGTGTGTGTGTTTGTCAGTGATGGATGAAATTTTGAAGCAAGAGCGTTGTCGCACTCTCAGTAAGGGCAGCAACATACCTGGGCTCAAAGGAAACACGGGCCGTGAGCAGAACAACAGCGAAGGCTGCATGCATAACCAGGAGATAACAGGAGCATGAGACCTCCTGCTCACACGCACTTCGGCACAAGCAGACTTACGGAAAAGGGGAGCGGAAATGCAAGCACTGATCAGCACGTGTTGAAGTCGCAGTCAGTGAGAACTCACATCTTTCGAACGACCATCGCGCACCGGCTGGTGCGGCTCCTCGCCGCAAAGCACGAACCGCCTGTAACATGCGCTTCAGACACTCACTACCACGAGAAGGGATCTGGCGGAATATGGCGGGCGAGCGAGGGCAGAGGAGGCGCGCGGCTTGTATTTTAGGGGTATGAGGTGAGGCCACAGTCAGTTATGCGGGGCTCCCTTTTGGCGCCGACTCACGTTGAACACCCACCGCCATGCACGGGCACTAGCACACTGCCACGCCGAGAACGAGCAGCAAGAAGCACTTTGAGGCCTGGTGAGGCGCCGAGGAACTCGTGGGTGGGGATAGCAACGCAGAGAGCGCGTTTGTGGTTCAAAAATACGAACGAGAATGGAGCAGCCAAGTATCAAGGCGATCGACAAGGTCTCTGTTGCAAGGATTTGCTCCGGCCAGGTCATCACGGACTTGGCCACTGCGGTGAAAGAGCTGGTCGAGAACTCCTTGGTGAGTGCTATTTCATTGCCATGCTGAGTCGACGTTGTGCACGGAGTGATACTGCTGTGATATTGCTTCCCCGACCACTAAATCCGACCGCTAAATAGGCGCCGCATTGATAACATTTGTGCAATTGTGCATCGAAATTTGAATTTGAAAAAGCGTTATATAATAGCGTCTCTGTAGTCCACTCCGTGTGTGCGTACCCTCCTCACACTCTCTCCAAAGCTTCAAAGCTTCAAACTGCCTCACTGAGTGCCTTCGGGGACATCGGTAGACACGTTTGGCAAGACCATAAAACTGGGAGCATAAATTACGCCATCGCGGCAAAAATGGTGCAATGTGGCCCATTCGTATCATTCACCATTTTTCAAATTTTGGCAAATACTGTACTGCTGTACAACTCATCTACTTCATCTGGGCCGCCGGGATAAGCTCATCTTGGGAAGGCTCGCCTACACGGCCAAAATAAAACATATGGCCATGAGACGCCTAGGAGTGGGAGGATTTTGGCGAATCGAGCTTATCCGGTGCGGCGGAATCCGAGCCTGTAGTGCCAGAAAAATGATCCGAACCACCGCCAGCAGCACCAGCAACGCTCTCGTGCGCCGACACATGCCAGTAGATGATGGAAACCGAGTCAATAGAATAGAGTGATAGAGTGCACTCCTCTTCACAGCGGCTTTCACTCTGTGTGGGACAGCTGCTGTCGACGACAAAAAGCTCAGTTTTGACCCGAAGTTTGAAAACGAGTGTTTTGCGCGGTTCTTCGAACTCCGCAAGAACCATAAACAAAAAGAAAAATATTTGAGGCCACTTGTTGAGTTTTCTCTTTTTTGACTCTGCCCCAAATTCGCAAAAAGGGACCGACCCTACAAGTGATACGCAAAAGTTCGGCCCACTTCTTACCGAGCAGTTGATCCTTTTTTTGCTCATCGAGTCATTGTCCAAAGAGTAGCTCTGCAATAGCCGTTGGGAATCGTACGCGTCGTACATAAAATGTACGTTCCAACCGATTTGGTTTTCGGTGATATCTCTGCACACAGAGTGAAGCAACAGCAACTGTAGCGCTATCCCCCGCGAGCTGTGTGTATGGTCCGTCTTGTGTGGCGGCTGATAGAGACCACGGGGCGATAGGAGGCACGGGAGCTCAGGTGGCGAGAGTCGACAGCCGTGAGAAAAAACCCACCGCCTAAAAAAAAGGCTCTTCTGCTTTTTTTCACGTGTAGCAGGCTTGGTTTACCGATGATCATTCCCCACCCACTGAAGCAACAGCAATGACAAAGGCATCCGCCACGAGCTGTGGTTCGACGTGAGGGGTGAATCCCCGAGGGTCCGAATAATACAGTGCGGAATCATTGCGTTTTGGAAGGTATGAGCTACCACAGTACTTTCGCTGCCAACCACACACATTCATCCCTTTGTAGCTACGAAGACCCACCAAACTTCTCTGTCTCTGTCTCTGTCTCTTGCCCCCGTGTGTGCTTGAAACGAAAGGATGCCGGGGCGAAGCACGTGGAGGTGAAGCTCAAGGAGTTCGGTGTGGACCTCATCGAAGTATCCGACAACGGCTCCGGCGTATCTCCGTCCAACTACGAGGGGCTAGCCCTGAAGTACCACACCTCCAAGCTCGCCACCTTTTCGGACCTCACCGGTGTCAGATCCTTCGGCTTCAGGGGAGAGGCGCTCAGCTCTCTGTGCGAGCTTGCCGGGTCCTTCTCGGTGACAACGCGGACGGCCGACGAGAGCGTGGGCGTTAAGCTAGCCTACGGGAGGAACGGAAAGATGCTCGGCAAGGTGCAACGCAGAGAATATGTTTCGTGGTGCAAAGCGTTGCCTGCTATGGGTGGATCACCCTTGTGTGAGCAAGTGGTGTAGTTGCGGCACACACCAGGTAGGCCGCCGCGTGCACCCCATGGGCGACGTGCAAGGTGGTTGCGCCGTGCGTCGTACCGGGCACACCTTCGCGAAAGGGTGTTTGTTCAGCATAGTTATGCGCGTGCTGACTTAGAAACCTCCATTCCAATCCCTGTGCGTCACCAACTTGGCTCTTTGGTCCCCCGTCCGCCCGACGAATGTGAGCACAGGAGACGGCGCCGCGTCAAGTCGGGACAACCGTGAGCATATCAAACATGTTCGAGCCGCTGCCCGTTCGGCGTGGGGAGTTCCGACGCAACATCAAGAAGCAGTTCAACAAGCTTCTGCGAGGGATGCAGGCGTACGCCTTGATCAGCCTCGGTGTCCGCATCACCGTCACCAACACCAAGGCTAAGGGGGGCAAGCAAACCCACATCGGGACACAGGTTGGGTTCATCAATTGGCCATCCGTTCGTGAGAGATGCCGTTAATGCTTGGGGTTGTCAGACTGCGTGCGTCCATTCCTTCGCGAGAGACGCCGCTTATGCTTAGGGTTGTCAGACTTCCGTCGTGAACTATTCATAGTAGAGAGTGCAAGCGTGAGGGCTGTTGCTCCCTGCTTGATGGGGCCAGAACTGCCTTCCCACCCCCCGGACCGGAAAAAAGAGCTGACCAGCAATTGTCGTGTCTGTTGCATCTTACCGCCACCAGTACAACAACAAGCTGGACGACAACGTGACCAACGTGTTTGGAGCCAAGTTTCTGAAGACGCTGTCGCCTGTTAGCATCTGCTTGCCCGAGGAAGGGACGCAGAATGAGGAAGAGGAAGAGGAAGAGGAAGAAGAAGTTGAGAACAAGAAGCAGGGCCAGCAAGGGGGTAGTGTGACGGGTTCGGGTGCGCAGAAGGCCAAGGACGGCGAGCGCAAGATCTGGGGCATGGTGTCCAAGGCGGGAGTGGGAGTTGGGCGCGCGGACAACGACCGGCAGTTTCTGTATCTGAACGGACGACCTGTCGACCTACCCAAGGTACGAATGACTACGTGCCAAGTTGGGGATGTCTCACCTCGTTGTACCACAAGCAGTTGTTTGTCGTCCTTGGCCCGTTGTACATGATGACGACATGGAATACAAACAATCATCTTTGGTTCGTGACATCTATCCAATCTTTTGGTTTGGTTCCGACCTTATCGCCTTTTTCTCCCTGGCTGCGACCACCTGTTGTTGTACTGGCGCGCTGGCAGTTCACGCGTGCGGTGAGCGAGGTGTGGCGGGCGTACGAAATGAAGCAGAAGCCGGCCTTCATACTTGACCTCAGGCTGCCCCCGGGCACGTTCGACGTCAACGTCACCCCCGACAAGAGGGAAATATTCATGACCGGGGTGAGTGGTCACGGTTAGGAATAAACGGGTGCCTCGGCAAGGTAAGGCCGTCCGTTCCATCCATCGGAGACGGTTCTCACGTGACCAAATCTCGTTGCAGTTGTTCATTTCCCAAGAAAAGTTGCAGCTCAAGCAGCGAATGCTGGGACTGGGGGGGTGTACTCATAGTCGTGCATGCGGTAGTCGTTAGACCATGGACTGGGGGGGGGGGGGTGTACTCATAGTCGTGCATGCCGTAGTCGTTAGACCATTGACCTCGCATCCCTACAAAGCCGGGACGGAGCACGCCGGGTTCTCACCGGACCAGGCTCTCACATCACCAAGCGCGAAGCGCCGTGAGATATTCGGCGAGTCGCATGAAGGGTGAGCTACATCCTGCTAAGGGTGTTCGGCATCTTGTGCTTACTTCCTTGCGTACGGATGACAGCTGCGTATGACTTAATTTATTTTCTGGTGCTTTCACTTCCAGAGACAGTTGAAAGCACTGTGTAACTGCCTCGAGGATGCTTGACCATTTTAACACAAGGTGGTGCGATCATCCCCCGTTGCGCGGAGTGAGGCTTCTCGACCCCGCACAACTTGATCTACTCGACCACCATTCATGGTTACCGCAAAAAAAAACAGAGGTAAAAAAAAAAACGATAACCTGGTTGCCGAGTTCACGAAGTGAATTGGCTTGTTTTACAACGTCGCTGCCAAGCGACGAAAACCCAATCCCGATGGCAAAACACCGGGGGGGGGCGGCTTGTTTTACAACGTCGTTGCTAAGCGACGAAAACCCAACCCCGATGGAAAACACCGGGGGCGGCGGCGTGTTTTACAACGTCGTTGCCAAACGACGAAAACCCAACCCCGATGGCAGAACACCGGGGGGCATGGACTGGGGGGGGGGGGGCGTAAACCGGGCCTGGGCTTTCCCGTAACCCCCCTGCCAAACTTTTCTAAGGTAACCCCCCCATCTAAATGCCCCTTCAAAAAAAAGAAAAAGGTAATTTCTGTCCCCCCCCCTCCACCCCCTGCATCAGGGGGGAAAAAAACAAAATCCCCCCACCCCCTCCTCCAAACCCTGCAAATGAACGGGCCCCCCCCCCTGTCCCCCCCCCCCAAAAAAGTATTCCTGGACAAAAAGAAACAAAAGTGCCAAACTGCTTTAAAAAACCCCTGCCCAAACCCTGGGAATCTTCCAGGGAACCCATTCCCCTCAACCAAAGGCAACTCCTCCCGGCCCCGCTGAAGGAAGGGGCGGCGTTTACCCTGCGGGAAAAGGCGGCGGCAACGTCTCCCCCCCCCCCCGAAACTCCCGGCGGCCCCCCCCCCGTCGGCGTAATGTCCCCGGGGCCC